TCATCTACAGTACCACATCAAGACAGGCACAACATTTTTTTAAGTAAAACAGATTTTTTTCATTTTTTTATAATTTTATTTATTGACTCACCATGAGAGAGGTTACAAGGCTTTCAGGTTTAAAGTCTTGGTCATACAATGAAACACCCTAACCTTCACCAGTGCCCATTCTCCACCACCAAAAACCTCAGCATACCCCCATCCCACACCCTCTCCCTTCCTGTGGGGCAGATGATTTCCACATTACTCTCTCTCTACTTTGATTACATTCAATATTCTGACACCAGACCGACCATTATTATTTGTGATTTTACCCCAACACTCAGATCTGCTGAAAAGGCAACCATAGACAATTTGTTTTCTACTGCTGGTTATGAATAACATATGATGTTGCATGAATAACATATGATGTTGCATGACCGAAGTAGTGACAGCACGATTTTGGAATTTCGAAATTTTAACAATTAAATCTGGAGAGATTTCTGCCAAAACCTGCTGGGTTCTGAGATTTGTTCCTGAGTCTCTGGGATCATGGCCATTAAGCAAGTTGATCAGGAGCCAGAGAGGCTGTTCATGGGCGGTGACCCAGGGTCTCGTTGGGGCAAGGAGGAAAGAGCCAGTTTCATCCCCATCCCATGAGGCCCCGCATGTCTCGTCATTGCAGGCCCAAACCTGACTGTCCAGTGGCCTCTGGAGGATGGTGGCCACCAAGCTGCCAGGGGGAATAGGCCAAGGCACGGAACCTATTACCCCCTTAGGGTGGCCCAGCAACAGTAACCTACTGCGGGGTCTGGATGCATTTCTGCCCAAAGCCGCTGGGTTCCAATATTTGTTTCTGAGTCTCTGGGATCATGGCCATTAAACGGCTTGATCAGGAGCCAGAGAGGCCCTTCGTGAACGGTGACCCGGGGTCTTGTTGGGACAGGGAGGAAGGGGCCGGCTCCACCCCCATCCCGTGAGGCCCCGCGTGTCTCGTCACTGCAGGCCCAAACCTGACTGTCCAATGGCCTCTGGAGGATGGAGGCCACTGAGCCTCCAGGGGGAACAGGCCAAGGCATGAAACCTATTCCTACCTGGGGTGGCCCGGCGCCGGTAACCTACTGCAGGCTCTGGACGCATTTCTGCCAAAAGCCATTGGTTTTTGAGATTTGTTTCTGAGTCTCTGGGATCATGGCCATTAAGCAGTCTGATTAGGAACCAGAGAGGCCATGGCTGAGCCAGAGATGGTTTATGTATGTTTCTCCCACATACTTAATTTTTGGCCATTTATTTTCTTGGTAAACTTTGCCCCAAGTTTTTGGGGTCTGGCAAAGGCACAGCAGCAATTTTGAGGTATCTGGAAATCTAAAGGCACCATCAGGCTGCTGATGCACTCGCCTCACAGGTACAGATTGACCAGCTGGCGGCACCATACCCCCGGTAAAACAGATTTTATTTGGAGGTTTTTGGAAGGGGAGAAGGGAGGAAAAGTGAGAGATTGTAGGGAGGTAAATTGGCCGCCCCTGAAATATAATACTTTGGCATAATATTTATTTTATAGGCAAGAACCTGAAGGTAGGATGATTTTCTTTGCAGAGATACATATAGACATCTCCCTTATGACCATCTCCCTGGAGAGAGCTAACCCATGGAAAAGACAGACTTCAAATTGTTTTACAGTGTCTTTTTTGGGTAACCTTTATAATTGCCTTCTGGTTGCTCTTTTCCCCCAAAATCCTCTGTGTTAGCTAAGCTATTTAAAGATAAAATCTAAGACCAAGTGGTGGCTTACTCCACTTTGCTGGTTCTTGCCATGTTATTTGGAAGCAAACCTGTTATTCATAACTTTCTCTACATTTTCTCTTATTAACCTGCTTGTGCTTATTTTAGTATTTTTCAGTCTCTGAAAACCAAATAAGGCTACAAGATGATTCTGTGGTTACCAGACAGGAATGAGGCCATTTGCCTCTGGACAGTGGGTTGGGGGCAGTTGTCTGTGTGTCTTTAGGAACTGGCCAGAGCTGGCCCATGAAGTCACCATAATGCCCACCAACTGAGTCCCAAAATGGTGCTGTCTCTGTATGATGCCTCATTGTAACCCCAAAGGAACTGTCTATACAAAAATAGGTAGGTACCCACTTATTTAGAATCTGCTTAAGTTATTTTAAATTTTATTTATTTATTTATTGGGTGATGACTTTGACCTACAACCTGGTTGTACTCAGAGGCTATTCCTGGCTCCATCTCTATGCTCAAGGATCACTCCTGGAGGTACTGCAAAGTGGCCTTAACATCTGTACTATCTCTCCAGCTCTATTTATTTAATTTTGTTAGTTAGTTTTGATTGGTTTGGGGGCCACACCAGAGGTGCTTTGGGGGTGCTCCTGGTTCTGTGCTCAGGAATCATTCCTGGCAGTGCTTAAGGGACCATACGCTGTACGGGGATCAAACTGGGGTTGGACTTGTGCAAGGCAAGGGCCTCAATCTCTGAACTGTCTCTCTTTCCCTTACCTCCCTTTTGGGGGGCCCACACTTGACAATGTTCAGGAATTACTGAAGGCAGTGCTCAGGGGACCATTTGAGATGCCAGGGATTGAACCCAGGTTAGCTACATGCAAGGCAAACACCTTACCCACTGTACTATTGCTCTGGTCTTTTCTTCATTATCTTTTGAGGGTCTTCCAACTAGTGTTCTGGGTACCCAGGAGCCACTTCTGGTAATACTCGATCATCTGAGCTGGTGGTGCAATACTAGGGTCCAAGGGTTAGGTGCTGCTTGGACCCTGCAGTGCCAGGAACCACTAGGATCAGCCCAGCAGTGCTTGGGGATATCCCCAGGGATGTCTGGAAAGCTTTGTGTGCTGGAGGTGAAATCCAGATTGGGTATATGACTTGAATGTGCCCTGCCCTCTTAACCCCTTTATTTATAGTTATTTTTAATTACTCTGTAGCATTGTCCTCCTGTTGTTCATCGATTGCTCGAGGGTACCAGTAACGTCTCACAACAAATTGTGAGACTTGTTACTGTTTTTGGCATATCAAATATGCCACGGGGAGCTTGCCAGGCTCTGCCATGCTGGTGGGATACTCTCGGTAGCTTGCCGGGCTCTCCGAGAGGGGCCCGGGCTCTCTGAGAGGGGCAGAGGACTCAAACCCGGGTTGGCCTTGCAGCTGCAAGTAAGGCATTTGCCTTGCATGCAGCCGACCTGGATTCGATTACTGGAGACGTTACTAGTGCCCGCTCGAGCAAATTGATGAACAATGGGAAGACAGTGCTACAGTGCTACAGTGCTTTAATTACTCAAAGGCCTGGTGATGCTTAGTCATCCAAATGCAGTCCTGGGGATTAAACAGAGGCTGGTCATATGCAAGCTTATCGTCTCTACCATCTCTCTGCCCCCTATTTCTATTTTGTAAAGAGTTTACTGTTATGTTTACTTCTTATTTATTTCCCTTACCTCACTGATTTTTTTGTTTGTTTGTTTGTTTTTTGCTGTTGCTGCAATGATTTGCTTGGCTGTGGTGCTTGTACACTGGGCCTTGATGATCACTGGGGGTTGTACCCTCACAATGCAGTTTTTGCACAGTGCTTGCTTGTGTGGGCGAACCCATTTTGTTGTAATGCTCACTATTATTCTGGCTGTAGTGTTCAGTGCAGGTTGCTGTGGTGCTCACCCACGTTCGATTAGGGTTGCCTTCCCATCTGTGGTGTTCACACATATTTAGCTGCAGTGCTCCATACATGCTTTGAGACACTTTTTAGCCAATGAATCATCTGGATCCTTGAGTTATTCTTAATTCTCTTAACCACCTCTCTTAACTAATATCCAGGAAGAACTATACCACAATTCTGACTTAATAACAGAGCTGCTAGAATGAGTCAAGGGTGAGTGCTAATATAAATATACCAGGGGAGAGTCTGGTAGGAACAGTTTTATGACAGGTATGTCCTTGGGCCCTGGTAGACTGGCCAGATTCCCAAGGTAACCTTGTGTGTCTTCCCTTCAGAAAACCATATCCTCAGGGCTCAAAGTAACCTATTCTGATCTTTTTCTTTTTGGCTCCAGGGAAAAACTGAACTGGACTTACCATAGCTACTAGTAGCAAATTCTATTTAAACTATTTAGAGGGCCAGAAAAATAGCTCCACCATGGAATGTATGAGACCCTGGGCTCGAACACCAACACATACACACACATTGTTAGAAAGCAGGTAGTAAATAAGAATCCCATAGTGGAAGAGACAGAGGACTTATCTGGTATCCTGGCCTCTCCAGACTGTGTCAATGGACAGGTCAATGCAATTGTCAGTTCAAGTCCAGAGTTAGGTGGGGAACCATTGAAGACTTTGGGGTAGACATGGTGGTCTGCTCCACAGAGAGGGCAGATAGGACCAAGAAAGAGTCAGAGGTTTGGGCACCTGATAAGGGATTGGAATAGGGTGTTGGACAGGTGGATAGAGGTGGGCCGCCCTGGAGGAAGGTGCCTGGGTAGAGCCTGGGTTTCTGTTATGAGACTCTAGGCAGAGAGAGGTCGTGCTCCTTAGCTGGGTCAGAGACGAAGACAGGCAGACGTGTCACGGCTCCGAGAAAGCTGTATCTGAGTTGGATACTTCGGGCCTCCAGGGGACGATGTCCTGATCGTTGAGTATCACAGTGTGGCCCTAAGGGAAGGATGAAACATTGCTACACTACGGAATTGGAGGGGGCGCTGCGTTTGGCGTGTACAGAATGGGGGCGGTGACACGGTGGCGGTATTGGACACGTGACCGCCTGGGCCGGTAGCACCGGCGCTCCTCGCACCGGCCCTCTGGGCCCCTGGAGTGGGTGGGGAGAGAGCGGATTTGACCCCTCGGGGTCGGCCCTCCGGCGCTCCCTCAGCCATTGGACAATTGAGCCGTCCGTCAAGGCCCGAGGAACCAATAAGAACTGAAAGAGGCTTCTTCCTCCGGAGTCGGGCTCGGCCCACGGGGTTACTTCAGGGAGACCCGGCTCGGAGAGCCGCCTCCGGGGCACTGTGCGCAGGCGTGGGGCTGACGGGACGGACCGGGCGGCCGCGGAGCGAGCTGGTGAGTTGGGGGTCCGAGGGAGCGGGCGCGGGGTTAGGGTACCTCTCACCTCTCCCCGCGCGGGCGCTCTCGGATCCGCGAGGGCGGGTCAGGTGATGGGGTGGAGAGCTGAGGAGCGAGAGAGAGGTGAGGGGGGCGGACCCGCGGCCGACTCGGAAGAGCGGGGCGCGCCGCCGCCGTCGTCCCCCCACTCGCGCGCGCCCGCCACGTGGGCTTGCAGACTCGCCGACACCCTTTGACTGTGCCCTGGGGTCCCCCGCACTGGGTGCTTTGGCCTTGGGAGCGCCCCCGGGAACTTGGCGCCCCGAAGGAAATCTATTCTTTCACTGGCTGGGAAAAACGGGGAGCCACCCCGGAGGGGCCCCGGAGCGCGCTCATCTGGGACGCGGTTGTCGCCCGGGCTCAGAAGAAGGGCAGACCTGGCGGGGCTGGGAGGCTGGCGCCCGAGTTCGAGCCTGTGGGTCTGAGGCTTGAACTTGAGACCCAGGTGTTTGTTTAGAGCTGCGAAATTGTCTGGGTCCGGGCGGCCGCAGACAGCCTTGCGTCAGGCACCCCGCGGGGAGGGACGGTCACCCTCTGTGCGCCATCACCCTCCGCTTCTGCCCCAGATTCTGGCTGTGGTGGCACCAGCTTCAGCCCGCGGTGCCGTGTCTCCCCCTCCCCCCCACCCCAAGCCCCCAACGACCAGACCTAGGGGGTACAGCCTTTATAAAGCCATCAGTGAACATGTGGGTCGCGCCCCGCCTCCCTGCTCACCCCAGAACATAGAAATAGAAAATAGAGCAGCTTTTTTTTTTTTTGTCTAAGGAAACATACCATTGGAGGCTGTGGAAGGTGCTAGGAGACTGTTTCCTTAATGCCTCTGCGGAGGCAGATTTCCAAACTTTTTTGGAAATCAGTTTGGCAACATAAGTCTCCACCCTTTGACCTACTGATTCCGCCTTTGGGAAGTAAGTAGGGAAAAGGTGGATACACAAAACAGTACAGTTTGGTGTTTTATGAGCAGGGAGCCAGTGGCAGTGACCTCCAAATCCCTCAGAAGAGAAAACAAGTTAGGTGGGTGGGCCAGTGGCACAACGATACCAGCTCTGACTACAGAAAACAGTTAAGTACATGGTGAATTGTTTGTGCCAACATTAGCTGTTACCTGTCAGTGAAATGCAATGTCATGAATAAAATGCTTTTGGGAAAAAATGTTTTTTTTTCAGAAGTGAGTATTTTTAAGGAATTAAATTAGAAATTTTCTTCAACTCATATTTTCAGATTTCAAACCCCCCCCCACCCACCACCTGTTTTTGCTGAAGGAACCGTTCTTTGCTGGCCTAGTTCCAGAATGTCAAGTCCTGTATCCTACTGGATCTTAAATTCTGCACGGAACAGCATTGCCACATTGCAAGGGGGCCGACGTTTATACTCCAAGTGTGCCTCAAATAGGAACAAGTCAAAATGGAGGCTTTTTTCCCAGGTACCAACCACCCTAATAAACGAGACTCCTGGGGGTAACTTGGTTCTGCCGAGAGCCTACAGACACACATCAACAGAGGAGGAGGATTTCCACTTGCAGCTCAGCCCAGAGCAGGTGAATGAAGTACTGCGAGCTGGAGAGTCAGCCCACAAGATTGCTGACCTTACTGGTGGTGTCCTGAATTCGGTGTTGCGGTTTGAGAGCAACCAGCTGGCTGCCAATTCTCCAGTGGAGGATCGGCAAGGGGTCGCCTCGTGCCTGCAGACACATGGGCTGATGTTTGGCATCTTTGACGGGCATGGTGGCCATGCATGCGCACAAGCAGTGAGTGAAAGGCTCTTCTCCTACATGGCAGTGTCCCTGATGTCCCAGCAGACCCTGGAGAAGATGGAGGATGCCATGGAGAGCATGAAGCCCTTGCTGCCCATCCTGCAGTGGCTCAAGCACCCAGGAGACAGTATCTATAAGGATGTCACATCAGTTCACCTCGATCACCTCCGGGTCTACTGGCAGGAGCTATTGGACCTACACATGGAAATGGGGCTGAACACAGAGGAGGCGCTCAAGTACTCCTTCCAGAGACTAGATTCTGACCTCTCTCTGGAAATCCAGGCTCCCTTGGAAGATGAGATGGCCAGAAATCTTTCCCTCCAGGTCGCTTTCTCTGGGGCAACAGCCTGCATGGCCCATGTGGATGGAGTTCATTTGCATGTGGCCAATGCAGGGGACTGCCGGGCCATCCTTGGTGTCCAGGAGGACAATGGCCTGTGGTCTTGTCTGCCACTCACCCAGGACCACAATGCCTGGAATGAAGCTGAGCTGGCACGCCTGAAACAGGAGCACCCGGAGTCAGAGCACCGGACAGTCATCATGGACAACAGGCTGTTGGGAGTCCTCATGCCCTGCAGGGCCTTCGGGGATGTGCAGCTGAAGTGGAGCAAAGAGCTGCAACGCAGTGTCCTGGAGAGGGGCTTTGACATTGAGGCCCTCAATATTTACCAGTTCACCCCCTCCCACTACTATACTCCACCCTACCTCACAGCGGAGCCAGAAGTCACATACCACAAACTGAGACCCCAGGACAAATTCCTGGTTCTGGCCTCCGATGGCCTGTGGGACATGCTAGATAACGAGGATGTGGTGAGACTGGTGGTAGAGCACCTGGCTGAAGCAGGTCGCCACAAACCAGACCTGGCGCAAGGACCCACTAACCTGGGGCTCATGCAGAGCCTGCTGCTGCAGAGGAAAGCCAAGGGGCTTCACGCTGCTGACCAGAATGCAGCCACACGCCTGATCAGACACGCTATCGGGAGCAACGAGTACGGGGAGCTGGATCCCGAGCGGCTGGCAGCGATGCTGACCTTGCCAGAGGACTTGGCCAGGATGTACAGGGATGATATCACTATCACTGTGGTGTATTTTAACTCAGACTCAATCGATACATTTTACAAGGGGGGTTAAGAGTCTCCCATCCTGTTGCCGAGATTAACGTAGTACTCTTCTAAAACATTTTCTCTTACTCTTAAAATTGACTTTTTAGAACTTACTAAAAGGGCAGGCAGATGTAGCTTGCTTAGTGACAGATTAACCTGAGGAAAAAAAAAAAGACCAGCAAAAAAGACTTAAAAATCATTAGCAGTCACTTTATGTTGTCTCTGTTTGGGTCACCTTTTCTATGCAGAGAGGTCAGAGCAAGAAGCCCATAGAACTGGCTTAGGCTCCTGGAGCCCAAGTCCTTTTACAAAGACACTCTTGTTAAACTATCAGCTGGGCCTTCAAAGACTAATTTTAACCATGATTCTGGGAATGTGAAGAACTCCAGGGACTTTTGAGGTCTTGCTGCCAAATCTGCAGACTTCATCATTTCTCAATTTATTATCAAGGATGACTACGAAATGGGAGGTTTTTAACTTTTTGAATTTTAAGACTTGGGTTTACAAAACATCTAGGACACTTTCCTATGCAATAGGTAACTTTTTCTGGTGATCACACTTGGGAAAACATTTTGTAATACTACATTCTGGTTCTGGTTTATTTAAAAATGGAACCCTCACACCCCCACTCAGGACTCATGTAAGCCTGCTTGGAAAGACTTAGCACTCAGAGTGAGAGGGGTCAGGCCTTCAGATCTAACGAAACGTGCGGCTTTTGGGTCACTTGTCTTCCTGCCTCCTCTGAACTTTGAAGCCGTGCTAGGAGGTAACTTCATCTGAGCCTTAACTCTGGGCCTTTTCTATATTCGTAGAATTTTGTGTGTGTGTGTGTGTGTGTGTGTGTGTGTGTGTGTGTGTGTGTGTGTGTGTTTAAGTGTATGAACTTTGTTACAGACGAGGCCTACAATTAATAGAATTTCTAACAGGTTTATTCAGAGCACTTGATCTTTCTGGTTATACGTCTCAAACGTTCTTCTATCTATTCATTCCACCTAACACTCCTCCCTCTGATCTGTGAAACTCCTTCACCCTGCATTTGTTCACTAGCAGTATTATCTAAAAAGAATCTTCCCATAGTTGCAGGGAAGGAGAAAAATGTGAAGGTATGTGGTAGCTGGGACAGGTGTTAGGTAGAACCGCCCTATGCAATGAATTGTGGGCTTAACGTTTGGTCTGATCTGTCCAGGGGAAAACAGGAGACTTGAAAACACTCGCTGACCAAGGACCTGTCAGTATCCTGAGAAGCAGGAGGGTAGAAGGAGGCAGAAGATTTAGCAAATGGGACACTTACCCTTAGACTGTGCTATCAATCACCTTTCTGCTCCTCAGGAGCTATACTTACTTCAGAAGCTGAAAGAAGACTGAAAAGGTGACCTGGAATGGTCACCGTGTTACTTGAAAATGAAACCATGTGAACCTCTCTGTGGGAGGTGGGAGTGAATTTCACATTCTCATGAATTGCTGTGACATTCATTTCAATAACCGAATACATACCCCTGAGTAGCATAATCCCATAAAACTGCACAGTTTTGTCTGACTGCACTACATTTTTTGATCCTTACCTCATCTCCTTCCTCTTCATGCATCCACTGAAAGAAAAGCCAAAAGTCAGGTTTGGCCTCGTTTTGGTCCATGTCCCTGTGATATCCATTCAAGCCTTGAGCTCCTTTTAGCAGAGCACCATTTCCCTGTACATTTCCCTGTACTTCTTTCCTAATAGGGCTTCATCTAAGACGTTTTCTTCTGGGTGCTTAATTAAGCCTTGATCCTTTTATCCGGAAGTCATTAATATTCCTTCTGATCCTTGAGATCTTAGAATGTGAACTACATGCTGCCATTCTGCTAGCATGGTTTGTTGCCAGAGCTGAGGATCGTGCTGTCTTCACCTCCTTTGTTCTTGATGCCGCCTAAGGCCTGGCACACCTGTGCAGCACTTACGGCTTCTGATTTGGAGCCTAGCATGGTTGTAAATGTATCTGATGAGTCGATCTTGAGACAACTGTGAGGGCACAGATTTCTCAGCTGTTTCACAAGCTGATCTGTGTTTTTTTTTTCTCTGCCTGACTGATTTCTTGCTGTCTGTGGTGTCTTGGTTGAAGAAAGGCCGGTTAATTGTCACCTTTACCACTGTGAATGCCGTCGGTGCTGTCCATGAAAGCTCCACGGAGCAATTCCCAGATAAACCCTAGAGTATTCTCTTGTGCAGTCCTGGGCCTTCCTGATGCCTTGGGTCTTGAGCAAACTGGGATGGGAGTGAGGAGGTAATTGTCAGGTCTTCCGAAGCATTTATCATCCCTTTCATGTTGAGATTTCATATTGAGACCTTTAAAATGAAGTGATAAAAAGTGAGATTGAACCCAATATCTTGGATGTAACTTTTTGGAGGGGGGAATACCTGGTAGTATTCAGGTGCCACACCCAACTTGGTGCTCAGAGATCACACCTATGGTGCTCAGGGACCACACAGTGCCAGGGACCACTCAGTGCTCAGGCCTCCTGCATGCAAAGCATGTACACTAGTCCTTTGAGCTATCTTCCCAGTCCCTTGGATCTAACTTTTGAATAAAATACGCTTTGATGCTTTAAATTGTGTATTTATCACTTAAGGTGAGAACTGGTGATACCAATATAAACAGCTCTCATTTCTGGGAGCTAGTCAAAAGGAGCGAAGGAGATGGTAATTAGGTATTTCAACTTAGAATCTATTTGTAACCCTTTAGCTAATTAGTTATAATGAAAACATAGACTTGGGGGCTGTTAATATGTAAACCTATTTTGCTTAGAAGTACAGTTGGCCTAAAAGAAAGAACTCTAGTATTGGGCTCAGTATGCAAAGTTCAGCTTAGACACAATTGAGCTGGCTCCCTCTGTCTACCACAGGGTGAAATAGAAACATCTTGAACTGGAGTTAGTTAATGAAGAGAATAATTGTGTGGAACAGAAGGTGCTCAGGGAGGAAGAGTCTGGCTTACTCTTGTGTCTCAGCCTCTGCTTACCTAGCTCTAGGGACAGCTTTTGAGAAGCTTAACTTCCCAGGTAGAAACAATATCCTGGGGCTGAGATGTTCTAGTTTCATCTTATAGTGGTTCATTTGTCTCAGAAAGTGACTCTTATCTGTGACAGAAAAGGCCCTGTGGAGGCTTGGAGCTGGCATTGACAAGATTGGTGGTACCCCATGGTAACATCGTGGGAGCTGCCTCCTAAACCTCCCTCATGGGAAACATGTTGAGGACTGCTGTGCACTCCCAAACAGACTAAGGCTCTGTCCCCTACCCCTTGGATATCTCACTTCTAATCCACCTTCTAGAAGATGCTGTTATGCATTCACTTGGAAAAATTAACCGTGTTATTTAATAATTATTGCTATTTGAGTTGCAAGCTATCTGCCAATGTTCATATTTGATAATGATTTTCTAACCATTAGATTTAAATAAATGTTATAAATAAAAGAGGCAAAATGAAGTTTGGTTTCTTATTTATTTATTTATTTATTGGGGTGCACTCCAGCAGTGCTCAGGGGTTATTTCTGGCTCTGCACTCAGGAATCACTCCTGGCGGACTAGGGGATCAAATCCAGGTTGGCCATGTGCAAGGCAAACACCCTACCTGCTGGACTATCGCTTTGGCCCCTAAAATTTTATTTCCTTTGATCTGAATACTAATTTTTTATAGTTCCTGACTGATAGTAGTCAATTTGTTTCACTCTCACTTTTCCTGGCCATGGAAGATTTCAGACTGTTTGAGTCCACACAAAAGAGAAACTGAAATTTAGGAGTGCTGTGAGCCGCTCAGGAAGTCCTGAGAGTTCACTGTGGGGCTAAGAGGAGGTGGGTAAGGCTAAAAGAAAAAGCCAGTGAAGGCTTTTGTTACCAGCGCCTCCAGGTACTCAGTGCTGGGGTTTCATTTAACAAAAGCTCCGGTGTATTTAATATTAAGTGCAGAACTTTTGGAAGGGCTGCTAGCTAAACAGTTGAAAACCACTTCATTCCACTGCCACCAGCTGAGTTAGTTTTGTTCCCTGGGTGTGATACAGACCAATTACAAGGCTTGCTCCAGGGGCTGCTGCTTGTGCCCACCCAGTGAGATCAGGAAATCCTGTGGTAAGGGCAGGTGTGGCAAATCTGGGTCTTAGGAGGGGCACACTTGGAAGAGGAGATGGTGGCAAGGGGAGTGTCTGATAAAGATAAGGAGGAGCTCTGAGACTTTTTTTTTAACTTGATAAAACAGGCCCAGAGGTTGAAAAACTTATCCCTGCCAAAAAGGTAAAGCCTGGATTTAAACCAAGTCCATAGTCCACACCCTTGTCCCTGGAGCTCTCAGAAAAAAAAAAAAAAGGGATAAGGAAACTTTCGATTTGCTCGAGCGGACCCAGTAACGTCTCCATTGGAGACTTTTGTTGTTACTGTGTCTGGCATATCGAATACTCTCAGTAGCTTGCCGGGCTCTCCGAGAGGGGCGGAGGAATCGAACTCGGGTCGGCCATGTTGGCCGCTTGTAAGGCGAACGCCCTACCCGCTGTGCCACAATTTTGGCCTGGGTGGGTGGAAATGACACAGAGAGGTAGATGGTGCTAAAAACAAACTAGAAGACTTCTTTTTTTTTTTAAATTCTTGGTTATTTCAGGGAATAAAACAAAGCTCTCTTGAAGCTGGATGTTCCTTTAGCTGTTACAAGCCAAGCTAGATATATTTAATGTATGCTTTCCAATTCCTTGTCATTTTGGAACCTAATAAAAATAGAGGGGAAACAAGAACTAAATTTTAAAAATTGAACCTTCAGGGAAGGATTCTTTAACTAGTGTTCCTTTCACCTTCAGAGTTTTTGTTCTTATTTTACTTTATGCTACTAAATGCCCCTGAGTGGGCATCTAGCCCACTGCAGGCAGCTCCATGTGGGATGGGTGAACCTTCCCTCATGGCTTGAGTGGGTGAGGGTGTCTTTGTTCCACTGGCCCAGGGCCTTGTCTGTACTACATGGAACATCACCTGAGGGAGGAACCAATGAGCCAGAATTCCTGCTCTCACTTCCCCTGGCAAGGGAATCTGTAGGTTGTTGCTGGCTAGCCCTCATCCCCTGGAAAAGTGGCCTATGGAGGGACTTGATCTCAGAATTTTAACTCTTCCAGTCTTTCTGGGATTCTGGAAAGCCTTCACTCGCCCACTCCACTTTCTCACTGCAGATGTACGGAAATGCCATTCAAAGTTGCAGTCAAAGTTAAGGGGAGTTAGCTGGTGTGACTGAGTGCACCGGAAGAACCTCTCAGGAGAACTCTGGGGTGCAAAGACCTCAGAAAGGACTACACACATGGGACTGGAGAGATAGCACAGCGGGTAGGGCATATGCCTTGCAAGCGGTCAACCTGGGTTCGATTCCCAGCATTTGGTGCTCTGAGCACTGCTAGGAGTAACTCCTGAGTGCAGAGCCAGGAGTAACCCCTGTGCATCGCCAGGTGTGACCCAAAAAGCAAAAAAAAAAAAAAAGAAAAGAAAAGAAAGAAAGAAAGGACTACATACATGGAAAGGGGAGTGCAGGACACAAAAAGCCTTCACCATCCCCCATTCTCGCATCCCCTGTGACCATGTGACCAAGGGATGTGCAGGTATCTTTGTTCTCCCACCCATCCCTGTAATAACAGGGTTGATTGTCCTGCTGATGTAGGATGAGTGAGGAGAGTGAAGGAGATGGAGGGAGGGGGTGGTGGAGGGATCCATAATCAAGGGAAGAACAGATGAAGAGAACCTGAAAAAGACAAGTCAGAAAAGAAATCTGTGAGTGGAGGTATGGAAGCAAGGAGAGGGGGTTCAGGTGTCTAGTACCAGAAAAGTCCTGGGTGTGCATGGACAGAAACGAACAATAAGCTAAAAGAGCCAAGGCCTTCCTGTGTTCTCTGGGCCCCAGCACGCACAGGTGGTGGGGTCGGGAAGAAAAAATGTTGTCTGTAAGCCAATCTGCTCCTTGGCTTGTCAATGAGGGGTTGGGAGGGCTGACCTGACACCGGGCTGCAGAATGGAGGGACTGGAAGCTCTGCCTGGTGGCTTGGCCACTGAATCTGAAGATGGCCTGTGAACACCGCAGAGGAGACCGTTTGCCAAGCTAGGTGTTTGATTGCAGTGTGGCTCATTTCCAGCATATATTTGATTTGGGTTGTGGGGGCACACCTGGCTATGCCAGGTGCAGTTATCGAGGAACCCTGAACCTCAGCAAACCATGCGCCGCAGCCCTTTATGTGACATCTGTGTTTTCCAATAGTTTCCCACCTCTTCACGCAAAAAAATGGCATCTGTGCGCCCCCCTTTGGCTGTGGGAGTCCAAGACACCATGTAAGGCAGGAGGCGGCCTCTAGGTGTCGCTGTCTGGCCGTGTTGGTGGCAGCTGCAACTGCAGCTGCAGCAACGCAGGGGCTTGAGTTCTGGGGTGAGGCTTGGAGATTCCTCGCCCAGCCAGCGGGGAACAGGGGGAACAGCCAGGAGCACATCCTTCAGGAAGCCTCACTACATCCTGGTCCTCCTTGGGGCTGGAACTTCCCATGTCACTTTGTCCTGCTGAGGTCCCAAGAGAGCAGGAATCAGATGGTGGGCACCAGAGGAGTGGGAGATGTACCCAGGCTCCCCCAAGGTGATGTTCCGCTCTGTGGCCTTACCCGCATCGCTGAACCCTTTCCCCTTCATACCACTTTGCTCCCCAAAGCACCAGCCGGTGTCTGCCATTACCCTCTCAGCTCCAGGGACATCTCCTTCCTGCCCTCTGCTTACCGCAGCCCCAAGTCGCAAGCCTCTTCCACATCTAGAGAACAGTCAGTGGCTCCCAGCACAGGATAGAGATGCCTCAAAGGTCTGCAGAGCATGCTCTGCACGTGGAGGCCCAGGTTTCATTCCCCTGTGCTGCATGGTTCTCCCTTCCCCTCCCCACACATACACACCAATTTTTCTGGGAGCAGCCCCTGAGTCTGAGCCCAGAGCAACTTCCAAGAATTACCAGATGTGGGGCTGGAGTGATAGCACAGAGGGTAGGGCATTTGCCTTGCATGTGGCCGACCCGGGTTAGATTCCCTGTATCCCCCAAGCACCACCAGGAGTAATTCCTGAGTGCATGAGCCAGGAGTAACCCCTGTGCAACGCTGGGTGTGACCCCCCCCCCAAAAAAAACAAACAAAAAAAAGAATTACCAGGTGTGTCCAAACAAACAACATTCCTCCCA